GGACAGATACAGGCCGCCAGAGTGCTGGTGTGAGTACTACGTGGGTGAGGCAGTCAGCGACCCCGCGTGGATTCCGCGGTGCCTCACTGGCAGGGCAGGAGAAAAAAAGAAAAAAAGGAAAAAAGGAAACATCAGAAGTCACGTTCCACGCATACTGGCCAGATACGTTGTCTAGATAAATGACGACGAATTTGTGTAACCAATCACGAAAGAGATCATTCATACATCTTTGAAAGGTAGCAGGGGCATTCGTCAGACCAAACGGCATGACCACAAACTCGTAGTGCCCATGACGCATTCTGAAGGCTGTCTTGTGCCGATCTCCGGGCTAAAAAAGAACTGGCCAACTCATTTTGTACAGTTCTTTTTTAGCCCGGAGATCGGCACAAGACAGCCTTCAGAATGCGTTATGGGCACTACGAGTTTGTGGTCATGCCGTTTGGTCTGACGAATGCCCCTGCTACCTTTCAAAGATGTATGAATGATCTCTTCCGTGATTGGTTAGACAAATTCGTCGTCGTTTACTTAGACAATGTATTTTGATTTTTAGTAAGACCCTAGAAGAGCACCAGCAGCATTTGCGTTTGATTTGAGAAAAGTTGCGGACTGCGAAGTTCAAATTGAATCCGGAGAAGTTTGAATGTGCTAAGCATCAACAATTGTACTTGGGCCATGTGCTAGACGGAGATGGAGTCTGACCGAAAGATGCGAAGATAGCAGCAATCAGGGATTGGCCAACATCAGTCCTTCGGGACATCCGTTAAAATTGGAACGATACAGAGAAGATTAGCATGGCCCCTGCGCAAGGATGACACACATAAATCGAGAAATGGTCCAAATTAAAAAAAAAAATAAAAAAAATAAAAAAAAAAGGGATTGGCCAACAGCACACACGTCGACTGAACTGTAGTCATTCCTAGGATTAGTCAATTATTCTCGAAGGTCGGAACTTCACCATGATAGCTGCACCATTGCGTAAACTACTGAGGAAAGAAACAGTATGGAATTGGGACAAAGACTGTACCTCAGCCTTCAAGAAATTGAAGAAGTCGTTCATTGAATATCCGGTTGTGAAAGTTGCAGACCCATCACTCCCATTCATTGTCACACAGCAACGCGAGCCAATATGGCATTGGAGCTGTACTCCAGCAAAACGATGGAGAGGTGTATAGGCCAGTCAAATTCATGTCTTGCCTAGCGAGAAGGTCGCTGCGCGGACGTATGAGCGTGAGTTGTTTGCTTTGAGGGAAGCACTAAACCACTGGCGACATTATCTTCAAGGAAGGCACTTTAAAGCCTATTTTGACCGTGAGACCCTACACTGGTTGAAAACCCAGTCCCAGATGACCCCTAAGTTGACTAGGCGGGCTGGGGAAATAGACCATCGACTTCGAGTTGAAGCCAGTCAAGGGGAAGTACAACGTCGTAGCCGACACATTGAGTAAACATGCAGATTTCTTGGTGCCATTGTGACCTACCTCGGTGCAGGTAGAGCTGCAGCAGATTAAGGCTGCGTACTCTGACGATCTTGTTTACAGCGAACTGCAAACGGCACCTCACGAAGTCCCAAATTATTGGGTGACTGGCGGACTACTCTTTGAAAGACCGATAGGTTTGACAGGCAAGGCATTCCAAACAATGAGATTGTCAAGAGTGCGATATTGTGGGAATGCCACGAGACTGAGGGCCACTTCAGTTGGGAGGAAGACTAACGCTAATTGCCTCCGGTCCTACACCGGGGTCGGTATGAAGCATGATTGCATTACCTATATCCAGGGATGTCAAGTATGCCAACGGAACAGGAGTTCCAGGCAGGCCCCCCTTGGTCTATTGGGACCATTGCCTGTCCCGTCCGGTCCTGGTGACTCTGTGTCAATCAGCTTAATGGACAAAGGTCAAGAGCAGAAACGAGAAGAATCAAGTGATGGTAGTTGTAGATGGGTTTAGTAAATTTGCTGTTTTTATTCTGCTGCCCGCTGAGGCGGAGACCGACTTAGTGATTAGAGAGATTTTCAATCAGTGGGTGAAAAATTATGGGCACCCACTGACAATTGTTAGAGATAGAGACGGTTGATTCACGGGCGAGCACTGGCAACATTGATGAAAGTTCACGGGTCGAAGTTGACCATGTCATCCGGGTCTGAAGGCCGAAGCGTCGTAGGTTGTTAGGTGTTGGTACTGAAGCCTCATAGGCCGGTAGGAGTCTGTCCGGTACCCGACAAGAAAAGTCCAGTCCAACAGTCCGAAATCCAGAAATTTTCAGCATGTCCCAAGAAAGTTCGGAAGCAACCGGACCGACAAAATGTTTGCAGGTTGAGATTCGTTGAGTGTGTGTGTGCGGCAGAGCCGCCGAAGACAAACACTTCTTGTATATTGATAATAATTTTGGAGACGGCATCTTTAGGTGTGGATTGTTTCTTGGTTTGGCTTCTCACGTGTGAACTCTCATGTGGATGCTCATTGATGTATGCGAGGTGGAAGTACTTGGTTCGTTTCAGAATGCAAAGTACATCGCGTATGAAAACCTCCCGCAAAGTGTACGGGGGAGACAGTAGAATAATGTAAGCCCTCTAAAGCTAGCTTCCCGTGTGTATCGTACCTGGTCTTTTCTGTCCTAGCCTATCATTATGTTCGGGTTGGCTCTCCCTTCGGAGGGAAGTATTGGTGAATGGATACACTGCCCCCTTCCACTTGACCGCACAGGCATGGGAAGTGCGCTGTATTGCCTGGTCATTCTTTTTTTTTTTTTTTTTTAATAAATAAAGGGCGACAGCATTGATGTTACCAAGCCGGCCAGAGTTCGATCCCTGTTCTGCGGGCCACAAGCCCGCCTGCAGCCTTTTTGCTGTTTCCTGCTGCAGCCCCGTTTTGGTGCCACTCCCAAAATCCCAGTTTTGAAGTTCCGCGCGCAGGGACTTGCATACCCGGTCCCCATTTGCCACGGACAACCGGTATGTAGACCGGCCCCCCGTACCATCGGGCAACCAGTTTTCAGCTACTGTGCTTGCATTTTTGACTTGCCCCTCCGGCATTGAGATTTGAAGACTTGGACTTGAGACTCCGCTACTTTGTCTGCATCCGTCGAGTCCTTCAGTCTTGTAGAGTGAGTGAGTGTGTGTGTGTGCTGTCACTCTCTCTCCCTCTCCTCTCCTTCCTCCCTCTCCTCTCCTTCCTCTCTCTCTGTCTCTCTCTCTCTCTCTCTCTCTCTCTCTCTCTCTCTCTCTCTCTCTCTCTCTCTCTCGCCTGTTATTATTGAGATATGTTTAGAACATACTTGCGGCGTACCGACCCTGTGCGCTGCGCTGTGCTCTGCGCGGACCCGAGGTGTGCGCGCACCCAGGTGCACAGTGCGCAGTGCGCTGGGGGGTGCGCCCTGGCGGGCGCAGGTGCACGGGGTGCGCACACCATTTACTTTATTTTTTTAATTTTAGGGGGAGAGAGAGAGAGAGAGAGGTCTCCAATGTCGCATCTGGCCTCCTGGTACTTCCATCGAAACGACGAGCAAATCGAGTGAAGCTACCGCTGCAACATGGAAATATACACCGCCACATTTGTGTGTGTGTGTGTGTGTGTGTGTGTGTGAGAGAGAGAGAGAGAGAGAGAGAGAGAGAGAGAGAGAGGAAACCGTGTGAGAGAGAAGAAACCGTGTGCTGACACTATCGGACCGAAGAAACCGCCCTTATCAACGGGCAACATGAATCCGGAAGCGGGGCGACATGCACAAAGGACAAAAAATATGGCGGTGTATCTTTCCATGTTTTGGCGGAAGATTCACTCATACGTTGGGTGGTGGAGAACGAAGGGCCGATGAATCTGGTAAGCACGTAACGTATTGTAAGCTTTTTTTTTTTTCTGGAGAATCTCTGAACAAATGAGACTGAATCCTCCGCCTGAACATGGAAAGATACATTGCCATATATGGGCCTCGCTGCACTACTCTGGAAATCTGCAAAACGAGAGTGAATCTTGCGTTAGAATATGGAAAGATACACCGCCAATATTTTTGTCTTTTGTGCATGTTGAGAGTAGTGCAGCGAGGCCCTTTGTCTTGTTGTGCACGTCGAGAGTTGTGCAGTGAGCCCGTTGGTGAACATTACAGTTGAGGTTCTGACAGGTTGGACGTGCCGGGCTGTTCTTCCTTCACTCGTGCAAAGAGCTGTTCTTCCTTTACGGTTTTTTCCTTTCATTAAAAAAAAAAAATCCAGGAAAAACGGCTGCCAGTTCCGTCGTTTTCTACTTCAGAAGTAATACGAAGAGAACGTTTTGAGAGATCGCGACCCTCTTCATGACTGAATCTGGCCTGCAAGAACCCTACCATACAGACTCCAAGTACCGTTGAGGTTCTGACAGGTTGGACGTGCCGGGCACTCGTGCAAAGAAATTCTGATGTTCTTCCTTTAAAAAAAAAATTCAGCTCCGGGGCCCCGCGCGGCCTCAACTTGTTGTTGTTGTTTTTTTTTGTTACTTGACGCAACATCCCACTTGAGCCTACAACACCCCTCCCCAACTTTTTTTTTTTTTGGCCGACCCCTTATTTTCGGGGTGCGCCGCACCCCGTGCGTGCGCGTCGTGCGCGGTGCGCGGTGCGGCGCACGTGCGGGATGCCGCGCACCTCGATGCGCCGCAAGTATGGTTTAGAATTGTGGTACTTCACTCATCTGCTTCCAGCATTGTTCAAACTTAGGTCTTTATGTCAACAGTTCAGGAGGTGTACCAACTGAGCTAGTCCAGTTGGTTTCTTGCATGGTCATTCTGTTTTTTGTTACACCCATTTCCGTTTTGGTTCAGGCGCTCATGCATCCTTGTTTCGATGATAAGTAGCCCAGAGCTTACCCAGCTCTGGACAGCCTTTTTCTTCTGAAGCATGGTTGCGCAAAAGAATTTATCGTTCTGTTTTCTGTTGTGTTTCCATTATTGTTTTGGATAAAGTGTCCCTCCTTCAATCCGCAGAGTATTGATTTGACGATCACAGATCCACTTGTTCTGTTTAAATGCCACAGGCCCTGCTGTGGGAGAGATAGCAGTCGCCGCAGAGCTTTACGAGGAGGCTTTTGCGATTTACAAGAAGTTTTCACACAATGTGCTTGCTGTGAATGTCTTACTCGACAACATTGGGAGGTTAGTTCATCTCATCCTCTACCCCTACATGTGTTCTTCTCTGACATGGTCTCCTTGCCCTTATGGATCTGTATGATGCTCCTAGAGGTCGTCGTGAACATGCCTTGGCCGATTCCCCGTTTATTTGGTTATTTGTTGAGCTGAAGGCAGGCTATTTTGTGTAATCATAGGGGCCAATCAGACAGGCACCTGCTTCACTGTGTTGGGAACTGGCTTTGAGAGCAGATCACATGAATGTGCCTGATTGTTGCTCATGCATCTGGTGGTGCATTTCTGGTCTGGCACAACCTTGTGAAGTACATAATTCGAATGAGATCAGGTATAAGACACAGAGATAAAGGGATTGTATTTCCCAAAGATTCCTATCAACTGCAATTGATTCACAGGCTTCATAGCATGTACTTGTTGCCGGAATGGGATTGGCTAAACTACATGCAAGCCGTGTAATTATTGTCTCACCAGACATCAGCATGGATCTGACGGTCAAACTGTGGCCTTGGTATGTATGGTGCAAAGTTCTTACGAAAGGAGCTCGCCAGGAAGTTAAAAAGTGGATGTGGTCTATGTCTATTGAATAGCAAGCTAGGCTGGGCCGTCGCCTGGCCAGGGACGCCCGGGCCAGCTGGGCCGGTGGGGATCGCCCGGCAAAACCAGGCGGGTCAAAAAAGAGGGAAGGAAAAAAGAAACTGACTTCAGGCTAGGACTGTGCTCGGCCCGAGCAGTCAGAATCCTGCCTTACCTTCCATTTTGGTGGTGGGTCGCCCAGGAGTGTTTGGGGGGGTATAAAGTTACTCTAGAGTCTAAACTGAAAGGGTTTTCACCTTTTGCAGTAACAGACGCTGATCCCAGGGCTCGATCCCTAGACTTCACCCTACCCATGTACAGTATCTGTGTAGTCCCCGAGAGTTGAACCTGTGACCTGTGTATTCGTAGACAGTTGGTAGGTCTGTCGTAGGTCCATAGGCAGCAGGGGTTCGATCTGTAGATCTATAGAGTAGAAGTCTTGGCGAGTTCCAGAAGTCTAGCTGTAGTCCTTCTAGAAGGTCGGCAAGTGGGCAAGTGGTCAAGTGGCGAGTCAAGTGGTGGACTATACTGCAGTGCAATCACAGTATGACTACGGTAGGATAGCAGCAAGTCCACGGTCAGTCGACAGTAAGGTCCAGTCAGTCCCAGTCCGGTCCAGCAAGTACCACGGGGGACTGTGAACACCATGGGCCGATGGCAAGGGGCAGACCAACGAGTTTCCGAAGTATAAATCAAGAGGCAGCGCCCAGCCTTTCATTGATTCCTGCGTGAGCCATGCGGAAGCGCTGCCACAGCGACTTGTGCAAGGAGGTCTGCAGTGAGCCCGGAGGACACAGTGGGTGAGAGAGGAGGAGTTAGCATAGCGATAGGGTAGAGGCAGCCATAGCTGCCATAGCTGTAGCTTAGTGTGAAGTGTGTGTGTGTATGTGTGAGTGTTCAGAGAGACACCTGTGGGATATCCAGGGTGATCCGGAGTGTGTGAACAGTGAGTTGTTTGGGCGCTGAGTCGCCATAGCCAGTTGAAAGTGAACTCGTATCTGGATGCCATATCTTTGAGTTTTGAGTGGCCGCATGTCGCCAGTTTGCTGAGCTGCTGTTTACATGCATGAAAAGTGTGAATGAGACCGAGTCTGATTGCAAAACAGTGACTAGGGGGATTTAAAAGGGTATATCTTACCTCATTTCTCCTCATTTACTTTTATCTTAAAATTAATGAGGAATTTGGAGGGGACCCTCGGCCAAAACTTGCTTGTACTGCAATTTTATACAACATATATTTTTTCGAGATTTTTTTTGAGTTTTTCTAAAAATTTTTATTTTTTTCAATATTGTGCGCTGAGGCTGCCGGGGCCCCTGCCCGGCCACTGCCCGGCCCAGGCCACCCGTTAACCACTTGTGGGCCGCCCGGGAGGGTACCTAGGCGACCTTCCCCCAGCCGGGCCGCCTGGGGACCAGCCTAGATAGCAAGGTGTTTCTGAGTCTTCTGCTGGCATGTGTTTGATTGTGTTGTTGTTGCCCCCCCCCCCCCCCCCCCCCCCCCAAAAAAACCCCAAGCACTGAATGTGCTTTTGATTTTGCCACACGAGTTGGCTAGACAATAGTAGGATTCTCTATGGGGACTAGGAAGGCAGTTTCTAATTTGACTGGTGAAATGTGCTTGTTGTGCAGTATTGAACGTGCCGTCGATTTTGCCACACGAGTCGAAGAGAGCGAAGTGTGGACCCAGGTTGGGAAGGCCCAACTCCGAGAAGGAAGAATAGGGGACGCCATTGATTCTTTCATTCGTGCCAATGATGTGTCACTCTACAGTGAAGTCATCATGGCAGCAGAGCTTGCGGAGGTATTTCCCAATATGGAGAGTTGCTCATCCGTGCATCCACCTGAACCCTCAAATAATTTTTATTTGACACCGTTCAGTGGTACTGCAGAGCGCATGACCATTCCAGCCTGCCAAGTAGGATGTTGAAAACTTTAAACCACCAGCACCTTGCCCAGCTTTGAAGTGGAGCCTGAAAATGCTGTGCGCGCCAAAAGAAAACCAAACCGGCGTGGGCCTCACTGCCAGCCATTTTGGCCCAGTATCCCGACCCCCAAAAGTTGTGGGCAGTATACTAGCCGCATATTTGTTTTTCAAGCTGGATGAAGTACTGGTGGTTTAAATGGACAATATTGACAACATTCACCGGTGTTTAGTCCTATTTGCGCCCTAGACCAATTGTCGGAACTAGTCCTAGAGCTTGGACTCTTTCCAAGGTGCTCCATTGTTTACGGGCTAATCCCCAAGGCTAAGTCATGTCAGCTGAAGCTTTCAATTATTGCCAAACTACATCTTTATGTCTCTACACACCCTATTTGTGAGTGCATCCCTCATTCTATTATTTGCTGTTATGTTTGTTGGTATTTACAAGTGCTATATGTCCTTCCAGATCTACCTCTTTAGTTTGCTGTTGTGTTTGTGGGTATTACTATTATATCCCTTCAGACCTATCCTCACTGCTATTGCACAGCATCACCATCACCAGATTAAGTATCCATCCAGATGTATGCATCACCATACAGCAATGGATTCCTGTATGGGGAATATTTGATGGTGATCTCTGTTGCCAACAACTGAGCAGCATTTCAACTGTACTACATGTCGTTTCTTGAAAAAAAACGCCGGTGAACAACTCCTGGCCTTCATATTGCTTCACTGCCACAGGCTCAGTGGATGGTTTTGTGCCCTCGTGAAGATACCAGGCAACATTCTTTCTCCCAGGTCAGAGCATCCAAGGCTCACAGAATTAGATGATGCTGTAATAATCATTGTCAGCTTACTGGTCATCTGTTTTTCGAACTCACCCCATCGAGAATATGCAGATCATGCGCCTGGGAAGATGTCCTGCCCAGACGTGTTGATGTTGTTCAGCCGTCTCTCGTGAACATTGTCTCCATGGGTGATTGAGGCAGCGTTTAGTGTAAGTTGGGTATAACAGGACTGCCTGGGATTTATCTGACTTCAGTTACACCCAGTTGCACTCTAAGAAGTTTAAGAGTGAGAGATTTGGGCTACAGAGCACGGAAAAGTTGCACAAAGCGCTTCACGGCTGGGTTGCAGTGACTGCAGCAACGCACACTCAAAGGGACGCGGTGCGTGGATTTCGGGCTGCGCCTTCCTTTTGCCATGTGCCTTCAACACGGTTTGTTTCATCCTCATCGATTTGTTTCTTGTTTGTTAGATTCATCGTCGTCGACTTTTTTCTTGTTTGTTAGAAGCTTTGGTTCAATGTGTTGAAGTTTGTGTAGAGAGGCCTGATCTGGTGAAACATGATTCATCTCGTTCTTGGATATTTTCAGCTCCTCCCGTCCTTTTTCTATTAACCTAACTAACTAAAGAATAACCTCTTTCTGTGTGTTGAGAACAGGCATTTGAAGAGCTGGTCAAATATCTCATCATGGTGCGAAAGACCGTGAAGGAGTCAAGGGTGGACGGTGAGCTTCTTTATGCATATGCGAAAATCAATAAGCTGGAACAAATGGAGGCATTCCTTGAGGAGCCCAACGTAGCAAACCTTCAGGCCGTGGGAGATCGTTGCTTTGATGAAGCACTTTATGAAGCCGCAAAAGTCATCTTCACTCGTATATCCAATTGGCAAAGACTGGCGTCGACTCTCCTCAAACTCAAGCAATTCCAGGTACACATTCCGACTGCAATGCCACCGCATTCACCTGTCCTCCTTGACAAATCCGGCCTCGTGGACTAAATTAGCTGCATTAAACCATTGTTATCCCCCATCACCTGTGGCCATGTGCATCGGGGATCAGGTTGCCCCAGTAGCCCCAGCGTGGAGGCCTGTGGCAGCCCCCATTGAGAAAAAACTGTGGTGGACAGCATCCGACTCTAGATTGCAAATCACAACAGCAGGAGAAGCATGCACAAAATGGGGGGGGCACTATAGGGGATGCCTTTATCACCCTGAATAGTACTGGCTCTCCCGCAGTTCCCATTTAGAAAAGAAGAAACGAAAAAAAAATTGCAACAGCAGGAGCCCATACTTGAACAAGAAAGGCCATATTTTGCTACTCTGGCCAATTTTTGGTGCCAAGTCACGCTAGTGAAAAATGCAGATGAAAAAAAAAAACGCAGATGAAAGATATGGGTTTGGAAAAAATCATGGTCTAAGCGCCGTGTAGTGGAAAAGCACGTTCATCATCTCTCACATTCTTGTCCTTGGAACATCAAATTCAGCATGCAACCCCATCCCCACCTGAGTAGGGACAACACATTCAGCACAGAACTATTTTCCTACCTGATTATGTGTCATCCTTGGCCATTTCGGGAGTTGGGGGAGTCAATGTGTGTAGCATGGCATGGAAAGGGAACCTCCATTATGAAACCACTTTCTACCTGAGTATGCTGTTAAACCACCATTACACCCAGGGCTGTTTCCCCAAACCGGCGCGGCGACGTGCCCCCTGCGCGCCGAAATTTTCCGAAGCACCAACGCGGAGTTTTTTTTTTTTTTTTTTTTTTTTTTTTTTTTTTTGGCTGGCAGCTGCAGCCATTTCGGCGTGCTAGAATAGTCGTGAGACACGTGTTCAAGCACCGTGCACGCAGGGCGCACAGCAAGAGAGCGGCCTAGTAGTCAGCCAATTCGCAGACTTAAACGGCCAGGCATCACACGATCCTATTAGTGAGTCTTATTCAGACGTATCAGTACCTGATTCACAACCACATTCATGCACTTCATTCAGATAACACACTTGTTCACAAAACCATCAGCTCTGCTCATGACGACCACGCACCATGACTTCATTCACAGAGACCTGACAGCCAGGCATCACATGATCCTATTAGTGAGATTTATTCAGACGTATTAGTACCTGATTCTCAACCACATTCATGCACTTCATTCAGATAACACGCTTGTTCACAAAACCATCAGCTCTGCTCATGACGACCGCACACCATGACTTCATTCACAGAGACCTGACATAGTAGACACTCTCACACAGGAATAGGAACAAAATCAGAAATTCCTTTCAAAGTACTCGAGAGATATGTCGGTGAAACTCACAGGTGATGCTCAAGCAGCGTCCTGCTCTCACATCCTGGCATGAACACCCAACGCGTTTCTACTGCTGCCAGTCACAGCGTCATCAGGGGCTACTACTCGAAAGGTAAGAAATCCTACGCCTGTGTCTACCTTAAGTACTCTGTGTCTACACCTATTCCTCTCACTCCCTATGCTCACGAAACACATCATCCCCGCCAACTGCTCCTGACACTTCGAAAATTTTAAAAAAAAATTGAGCACACACCCGCCACACCTTCGTCCATCGTTTCCCTGTCGGCTGCGCTTTTTTTCGGAATACGCAAGTACCCCGCTCCGTACGCGCGTGGACTGCGTTTTCCTCCTGCCACTCGCTTTTTTCCGTTCACGAAATCAAACGTCTTGACAGTGAACACCCGCCGTACGCTTGTCCACGGCGCCCATCTTTCCCTCGGTCCCCCTTTTTTGAAAAACCGCAAGTTCGCCGCGTCACACGTGTAACCCTTACGATAGCCTTGGTTCGTAAAAACGTGGTCAGCTCCGAAAACCCCTTCTATCCACGTCACCCCCTTGGAATCTCTTCCAGTTATTCTTGCTTCCTGACTGTTACCGCTCGCCAATTCTCCGTGCGGCTATTACTGGCCGCTCCTTGTCCCGGTCGTTCGTTCCTGGTTTGGTTCTCGGTCCGGTACTTTCACATAGGACTTGAACCCATTTTTCCCATGCTCCATCCTTTGATTCGGAAAATCGTCGTAATCTAGAGTCGAAATACTCATCCGGGAGCCCCCTCCTCCGGAGTTCCATAGTTAGGACGGTTGGTCCGGCCTCCATTTTGTTCAGCGTGTGGTTCCAAATACGGTGTAGGTACCCTGTGATCATCGCCTTGTTAGTCTGCACCGCAGAGTAGGACTTGTAGTCCTGCAGTCCCTGAAACGCCATCGTCCCCCCTTCTAATAACCCAGGTCCATTGGCTGTTAAGGCCGTGCATCGTACAGACGTGCGGAACATCTCAATGCGCAGCTCACACCCCAAGAAAGGCCAGGTCTTCGTACCCCCGTCTGTTCTCTTCAGTGTTAGCTTTTCGTTGTAACAGTTTTCAAACTTCTTCAGAATTTCCATGGCCTCGCACAAGCAAGCTCTCTCGTCTGTTGATCTGGAAAGTGATGAATATGGAGACGTCACCCACCAACCTGCAGCCCTGGATCAGGCGCCTGTCAGCACCCAATGATGAGAGGAACCGGTTCTCGCAGTAAGCGCATAGCAAGCATGCCAGCACGGGGCTATTGCTTTTCCCCATAGGAATCCCCTCCCTCTGTCGCAGGATCTTCCCAGCAGCAAGTATGAACGTGTGTCTCAGATCGAACTTGACGAAGCGAATCAAAGTACGAAAAGGCACAGTCCTCCAGCCTATCTCGCCAGCATCTTTGCCAAACGTGGCACCCTTCCCCTTGAGCTTCACCCTCACATGTTCAAATCCCTTGTCCTCATAGGCTTCAACCACCCATTCGACCGCTTGAATGATGGCTTCATGTGGCAGTTTTGAAAACATGTCCTTAATGTCAAAACTCGCTGCCAGCAATCCCTTCTTTACCGATCCTGAGGCCATGTTTTCGTTGATCGTCTGGATGCGCCCAATCAACTGCTGTGTGCTCTTCAGGTTGAAGTTCGAGTTTCTTGGTAGACTCCACAGCATATGGTTGATCGCCTTTCCCACCACCTTGCTCATTCTCCCAGCCGGCTCACTGTACGATGGACAAATTGGTCTCCATCTCGATGTGTCTCGATGTGTCTTTGTGCTTTGGTACGATGTACGCACGGCCCAGGCTTCCCTTTTCATCACAGTTCATTGTCTTGTCGTACCCCTCCTTGATGTAAGCCTGCCTGCACTTCTCAATGATTGTGGCCTCGTCCTCCTCGTCTGTCAAACGCTTCGTTGTAGACAAACATTTCTCGAATTGCATCTGCATAGATCATTGGGAAGCATGCCACCCTTGTTGTGGTCCATAGGCATAATCACGAGTCCCTCTAACTGTCTCCGCGTCATACTCACCTGGCAGGCGGTCAGTCCATCTAGTTTGTCTTGTGTTGCCTTGTAACACGACCGCCGCTCGTCCTACTGCACCAGCCTGGCCTACCCACGCCCAAAGCATGCTTCAATAGCCTTGTTCACTTGTCGTGCCAGAGCGCCGTCATGTCTGCTCGGTATAGGTACATTCTTTGAGTTTCTCAGTTCCCTTACCAATTCAGTCCTCTCAGAGAATCGGAATTTGATGTGCCCATCATCATTCCTTGGTAAGTCCAGCTTACTGCACGTACATCATCAGTGCCTCCTCACGCTTCACAAATTTCCGGTGGTTGCACAATATCTCTCCCACGTTCTTGTGTCTAACCCAGACAACACACATCCTCCTACACAAATTCCACCAACTTCTTGTTTGTACATGTTTGCCTAATACTCTTTTTACCGATTTCAGACACGCTCCAGTTGCTCAGTCCCACCTCATACTCCACTCTCACGATCACACGGTTCCATATACTAATCGCAAACCTTGACCTGACGGTCCTTGAGACTAATCCCCTCAAAATTGCTCGACCCGATCAGCCGGTTGATAGTGAATTCACGGGTGTACAACACCCTTTGGTACTGCGGTATTCGAAGTAGTGCGGTCAGGAAGTGTCGATCAACATCGTTGGAGTTCTCAACTACCCTTGTCACCGTGAACCTCCCTTTGTGCAGCAATCGTTCCCTGCCGTCTCTCAGCAGAATCATCTTCCCATCACACCTGATCTCAGTCATTCCGAAACACCGTTTGATGACCGACCATCCTTCACACCATCAGGTCCCTCGTGCGATGGACAGCTCAGCTTGTTCCCGGGTACAGCCAATATTCCGTAGTACCTTTGTAAGCAAAAAGCTTTCCTCCGTCCTAGTGCACACTACTGCCGGGGCTATGCTCGGGCCTCCCGTCCCTCTTCTACTGACACCACGACGTTCCCTTTTCCCTGGTCTATTCGTCCGTACCTTCTGCTTTTTCCCTTTAGAGTTCAGGATAGGAGAAAAATTCTTAATATAAAACTTTTCCAGACTACCCAGCTCGTTGACCTTGCCCAGGACCAAGGGCATGGCCACGTACTCTTGCCATCCCTTTCTCCGTAGCCATCCGAAAACCTTATGCTGTCTACCAGCATCCTTTAACATCGTCATTCTCCTGTGCTCTTTCCACCTCTCGTCTAGCGTCCTCGCCGTCATTGCAATATACGTGGCACGAAAGCGAGGAGACACTAACGCATACACGCACAATTTCGGATTGTTGAACCAGGCTTCGTCATGCGTACTCCATCCGGCAGATCTCTCGAGGAACTTGTTGAGCCATTGCATCCGGCCGCTCTTGGCCATTTCCACAATCAGGAGTCTCAGCTTCCTCTCGACACTTTTCTGCTCGTTGTAGTGTCCGTTTCTCCTGATCGGGTCATGGCTCAGTTCCCGGAATCTCTCCCAGGCGCATGACGAGCTCCGGTCATTACCATCATTCAACCATCTCGGTTCCCTGGTCATTCGGGTTGACTTGCTCGCTGATCCTCACCGGTTGCGCGTGCTCACGATTGCCATATGCCATGCTTGCTCTCGCTTCCGCCAATGTTTCGACCGAGTCCTCCTTCGTGTTGCTCTTCGCAGTGAGCTTCTCTTCCTTACACCTTTTCATCAGAGTCGGGACGTTCTTGGATCTCAGGAACCGCCTAGTGTCTTCTAGAAACTTCTCTCTTCCTTCACTTCTAGGTTCAGCCACGACAGCCTTTTTGCCCGGTATGAGTCTATCAAAGCCGAGTGGTTCATCGCTCACGCTCCTCCCACATCTCTTCTGCCTGGTCGTTGTCTTTCGCACGGGGTTCGGAGGTGTCTTCGCGAAGAGTTCTGTCGGTCCGACTGTTCGCAGTCCTGATATCGGCGTGCTCGTTCTTGCGCGCGAGGTGGACGGGGTCGACGGGGTAGGAGCGGTCGCCAGCTGCACAGCCTTCAATGCTTCGATTTCATTGGGCATGATCTTCATTTGCTCACGGTGCCTCTCCTCCATGCGAAGTAGTTCCTCAGACAGCTTTCGTTCCCTTTCGGATACCTCCATCTGCTTTTGGCGACCGTGGTTGTTCGTTGGTGCAGCTGCCCTCCTTCGCGCGCTTTCTTCGTCCGCGCTCGAGTTGGGCTTCGCGTGGTAGCAGGATGTCCCTTCACATGTCTTCGATCATTATCGGATTCTTAGCCATTCCAGCTTTCAACCCTTCGACAACTTCCCGGAACATCTTGTTTTGCTCCGCGAGCTGTTCCACGATCACTTGGTAGCCTTGTTCTTTACTCGCCATCTCGCTTTTGATGACGAGCGCAAAACGAGCTTCCCGTTCGTCAGCCCGTTGTTGCTTCTCAAGTTCGAGCTTCTCTCTCTCCTCTTTCTGTTGCCTTTGTTCTTCTTCTCTGCACCTTCTCTCTTCTTCTTCTTTTCGTCTCTCTTGTTCCTCCTCCTTTTCTTGCAACATCGTTGTACAGAACTCCCGCATTGTGAATATGGCCTCCACTATCTCCCGATTCGAAGTTAGATTGTTGTTATTATTATTGTTGTTGTTGAAATTCCTGTAGCCGTAGCCGCCATGGCCTTGGTGATGAGCTGGTTCAATCGGTCCATCTCCAGAGACTGGCACGATCTGTCGTTCGGCATTGCTCGCCGAGGTCGATGCAGTGTTGTTTCCTCCGTTCTCCGTTCTTGGTCTTCTTGGTTTGATACAGCCGCGCGATAAATGGCCTGGTTCGGCGTGGTTGCCCCGATGTGGCATTCACAATCCCACACGGGCCCCTGAAGGGCCCGACTGGTAGGTGAGGGGTTAGCGGATGGGTTAGAGGCTGAGGGCTCAGTGTCGTTTCAGCCCCTTTTAGGGCCCGTACGGTTCAGTAGGCGAGGTTAGGCCTGTTACTGGTCCAGTTTAGGACCGGCGATAGGCCTGCATCACCGGTCAGGCTGTTCAGGCCCAGTAGCGTTTGGGCGCCAACTTCGTTAGGTGCCAGCTTTTTGTTTGGCCGCCAGGTCTGTTTTGGGCACCAGTTCCCCCTCAGACACTGGTGCAGTTTCCGACTGGTAGAGGCAGCCTCCCAGTCGACAAGCACTAAATATAGCTGGGTCGCCTTAGTTCATGAGGTAGAGGTTAGTTGACGCGCTGGGCGCTGTCAGAGTTAGTCAACAGCGCTGGGCGCGAGTTAGGAGTAGAGCACTGCAGTCGAGCTGCAGCAAGAGAGAGAGAGAGAGAGAGAGAGAGAGAGAGAGGAAGCGAAGGCCAGGGGGACTTACTGGCGACTTACCTGTGACGCCATAGCTCCAGCTTCGTGTCAGCACGTCCTCACCTGCATCAAGGCACCACCTTTACGCAGGTCAGTGCCTGGCAGGAGAGGATTCTTCTTCTTCTTTCTCCAGCACTCCTCCCCTCCCTCCGGAGATTTTCTTCGTCTTTTTCTTCTTCTGTTGAGGTACGAGAGAAGGAGAGAGAGAGAGAGAGAGAGAGAGAGAGAGAGAGAGAGTTGACGTTGAGACTTGGTGACATTCCTGGCTTCGCCCAGTTCGTGACATTGCGACCTGACATTGTACGAGCACCGACATTGGGGATACATTTGAGACTGGGTTCATCCGGCTATGGTGGCTGATCACCCCTATCTCCCTCTCCCCCTTCGTCTCTTCATCCCTTTTCGTCCATGGATGTATCCAGACTCAGCGCCCCTTCCATGATTGATGCGCCGAGTCCACTCACACTGAGCGATGGTGAATGCTGTCAGGACCTGTCATTGTCCATGCTGAGTGAGATCTTGGTATTTCAGTCTTCCACTGTGCTATTTTTGTATTGTCTCTGAGAGCTAGGTTCTGCTGATCGATGCCGATTAGGCATGCGACTCCTGATCTCCGGAAAAGCCCCAAGATGTTCGGTGGTGGCGACGATCTTGGTATTTCAGTCTTCCACTGTGCTATTTTTGTATTGTCTCTGAGAGGTAGGTTTTTCTGATCGATGCCGATTAGGCATGCGACTCCTGGTCTCCGGAAAAGCCCCAAGATGTTCGGTGGTGGCGACGAGTTTCCTTTCTGCAATGCTGGGGCCGTGTACTGGTGGTTTAGTCTTTGAGCAGGGCCGTGGTTACAAGGTCTGTGGTTACAGGTCTGTATCTAACCTTGTCCCCTGGCGATGAGCAATGGCTAAGCAATGGCTAGATTGTGCTTGGCACAAACTCAGTTTCAAGTTTCAACAGGAAGAGCATACTGAGTTTGAAGACGGACCAGGGAGACAAAAAACAAAAAAAAACGGTTCTGTGCTGTTCATTGCCCTTGCCTTCGCGGACATCCTGAAGAACGGAGTCCATGTCGCTTTTCTGAAGTGACCCTTGCGGTGAGTTACGATTTAGTTGCTATTTTTGGACAATTTCTACACTTCTGTTTTCTGACGCTCTCCCTCTTTTTGCATCTTATTCTGTGCCTTTGAACAGCAAGCGGTGGAAGCTGCACGGAATGCAGATAGCATGAGAACCTGGAAGGAGGTTTGCTTTGCTTGTGTTGATGCCGAGGAGTTCAGGTTGGCACATACCTGTGGTCTGAATATTATCGTACAGGTAAGCATCACTCACTGCTGGGCAACGCACCAAATACATATATGCGATGGCTCCATATTTCCAGGAATAATATTCGTAGTAGTCACTTCGAGGAAGCTCAGCTGATTCATTGAAAGTCCATTTTGTCTGGTGGGAAACCCGCACTATACTTTGACTCTTTGTTCTCATTGCCGTAAAATCGTGGGTTCTTCTGAGGAAGCCCGGCAGTCAGTACGGTGAATGCAGTGGCAGGATTTACAAACAAAGCTTGACGTTGTGAAGGGATTAGTCCCATTGTCAGGGTGTAGTATACTGTCGCAGGGCTTACGAACAAAACTTGACCTATTGGTCCCATTTGTCAAGAGATTTCCGTTCCTTTGAATTCGGAAAGGGATTATGTCCACGGTTTGCTTGTTAGCAAATAACAGGTCTTCTGGGGAAGTGGTGAGACGTCTTGCTTACTGCTGTGTATTTAGTCTCATTTGCTTAGTGCTGTGTGTTTATTATCGTTTTTTCCCATTGTCAGCAGTTTTGACAGCGTATGGTACAGAAAGAGGTGTACTCGCCTTGAGGTGTGAAATGAACCAAGTAATCGTCAAGTTCCACCTCGCATACATCATTGAACATTCTGTAATGGATCCAAACTGGAAGATACTTATCAGAGGTCGAAATGCAAGACAACTCAGATCTGGACAATGTCTCCAATAATCATGAATGTGACCTCTGATACAATGGCTCGTTACAGTAGACGAAGAGAGTGGAGGGGGAATAGACAGTAAGAGGATGGAAGAGATTATCAATGACCACCGTAGCCCAATGTTACCCACTTCTTCTCCGGGCTTCCCCTCGCCTCCAGAGTCTGACAAGTCCTGACCACATAGAAGTGCCTCGTGGCACTGCTCTCTTGTGACCACAATCAGCAGCGCACAATGTCGACGTCAACCTCAGGTAAGTATCCCATTCCTCAATCATCCACATATCCCGATCTCCCTCCTTGTCGCATCCAATCACCTCATGTAGACAGTGTGGGCAGTGTCACATCAGCAATGGAGACAGGTGGCCTGCGCCACATCAGTAATGAAGACAGGTGGCCTGCGCCACATCAGCAATGAAGACAGGTGGCCTGCGCCACATGAGCAATGCCGACAGGTGGCATGCGCCGCATCAGCAATGAAGACAGGATGCACATGCCACATCAGCAGAGGCCGGTGCTCAGTAGAGAAGGCGCCAGCATGCTGCCACAGTCCCGCATCATCGTCCACGGTGCCAGTACACAGCCAGCGTCAAGCCAGCGTCCAGCCAGCGTCAAGCCAGCGTCCAGCCAGCGTCGAAGCAGCATAGCAAGACTGAATGTTGACTTCCTGGAGACCAAGCCTTATGTAGTGTTTGACGAGGCAGTCTGGCCTCCGGTCTGCGATCCACAGCCGTGCAGATTGACTCACAGCGGAGGGCCTGGATTGTATACAGTTGCAGACTTCCACTTGGTCTTGGTGCTGTTTGGGTATTTGCATACAAACGAGTGTGTGTGTCTGACCGGCGGCCCGGGCTGGGTCCATTTTGATTTCGACTGTTGGCCTTAGGCAGTTCATTGTGGTCGACTGTCGCCCGCTCAGGCCCTGGATCCATGTAGGGGTCTTTTTCCCCTTTCAAACTGAGACCGAGTGGTGGCTTGGCAAGGCCCTCAACGAGGCATACTGCATGGGTTATTGCATTCCTGCCGGCCCAATTTTCGAGTTCCATCGGAGAAACACATTAATTTTCCTTCAACCCACGTTCATATGCAGCAACAATGTCAAGAGCAGTAGATAAGAGTTCCTTTTTGGTGAACCATCGAGCTTCAGCAGGGGGTTGAGACTTGAACTTTACGACTGCTTCTGCGGTCGTCCTCTGCCGCCTGTAGAGAAATAGCCATGTTCCAAAATCTTCTCAACTTCGTAGCCTCCATTCATGGAGGGGGGGAACATAGATGGTCTATTAGGAAACTCAATTCCCCTATATATGGCAAAACTTCAGACGTGTGAAAGACAGGATAGGTTCTGAGGTGAGGGGGTACATCAATTTGGTAAGGAGGTCCATCTGCATCCCCAATCACCCAAGGAGGTCCATCTGCATCCCCAATCACCTTGAGAACTTCCCAGGGCCCATAATGTCGGCAGCAGTTTCAGAGGTGGGTTTTCTTCCAAGGAAAATTTTGTAGATTTTACCCATACCGGATCACCTTCCTGAAATCGCGATGGCCGACGATGTTTGTTGGCGTGCTCAATCATCTGCAATTGGATGGACTTTCTGTATATTTTCCTTTACCTTTTTAATATCTTCTTCATATAAAACTGCAAATTCACGAGTGTCTGGGGGGAACCTTTGAATCTAGTCCCGAGTTAGAGCATCAATGGGACGTCGAGGTTTCTAAAACAGTGCATTGAGTTTCTTCATATAACAATATGTACGCTATTATTATATGCACTGGCGATTTTAGGTAAGTTCTCATCCCAATCTATTTGATCGGGTCATACGTACATGCGTAGGAGTTGTTGGCACAGATGATTCATCTGTTCAGTTTGGCCATTCGTTTCAGGGTTTAGGGGTGGCCGACGACATGGTCTAACCTCCCCGCCCTTCCCAACTCCGATTTCCCGCGTGGGCTAGGGGTGGCGACGCGTGGAACCCCCCCGCCCTTCCCAACTCCGATTTCCCACGCGATCCCCCGCGCGTCGCCACCCCTAGCCCACGCACTCCTCCCCTGACTACCCCCCCTATCTCGATCCCGCGCCCCTACCCGGACACCAACCGGGATCCCCTTACCCCGACATTCCTTCCCCCCCTACACAACTTCCCCCACTCTCCCCCCCCCCCCCCCCCCCCCCAACCATCACCAATCAATCATAGATAGGTTCAACCTCGCTTTACTTCATTAGCCAGTTATTCCTTATTTATTATTATTATTATTTTTTCAAAATTCATTTGAAATTCTTGTAAATTCGCAAATACTTCATTTTTTGGCATTTCTTTTTCACAAATATTTTCTTTTTTGAAATTTTCGAACATACGTCGACTTAATCATTTTTTCTCGGCATTTCTTCTTCGAAATTCAAAAAATATATAGAATTTTAATGAATTATTTTTTGAAATCCTTGTAATTCGAAATATTTTAGAATTAGTTAATTTTTTTTTTGACATTTCTTTTTCGAAAACATTTCTAATTGTGAGGATTGAGCCCTCAAGAAGGGGCCTTGCCATGATGAACATGTTCTGGGCTAAGGCCCCAGCAAGCCTAGTGCCTGCCCTAAGTGAAGGCGGGCCAGCAAATCAACAAGAGCCCTCTGTGCAAACATTTCACGAAGTGGGGTCTATACAGTTGCAGCACGCCAGTTGGTTGGAGTGCACCGAGTCTCGGATCTCTGCAAATGTGGAAATCCCAAGGCCTCCGAGTTAGTTAGGCCCTGGGCACTTGAACGTGAGGCCGACAATGCATGCTGGGTAGAGAGGCCGAAAATGCCAAAGGGAAATCGGCCCACTATCTGAATCTGGCCGCAGGCCTTGACGAAAGAGGTGCAACTGCATCCCCCGGGCCTCAACTGCATCGGGCCTGGGTTCAGGCATTGGGGCCCAGACGCAGGCTGAAGGGAGCCCGCCCACACGCAGCATTGGCATATAGGCAAGCAGGGCGAGTGGGCAGGGATCTTGGCCATTGCGGGCAATGCCGGCACGCTGCGCAAATGCGAGCTGCTGCGCTGCGCTAGGCTGAGGTGCGAGACAGGCAGGCGCTAGGCGGTAGGGCGCTGCCTGTGCACAGGGCACTGGCGGCCATAGCTGGGCTGCCTGGGGGTGCAGGGGAGGTGAGCGCGAAGGTGGTTCTTCGAAGGTGAAGGGCGCTGTGCGGGATAACAAGGGAGAGTGTGGGTGAAGGAGGAGATGTACGTGGTGGAGGTGGAGGTCGGCATTGGTGTTGACATCATCACTCGCTGGTCGTCAAGTTGTCTGGTTGCTTTCATTGCTGTAGTTGTAGGCTTAGGCTGTAGAGTAGATAGGGCGCCTGGCGCCATTCAGGAGAGAGAGCTACATTGGGTTATGATGTTGGTGTTGCCCTGTTGGGCTTGGACATTGACTCACGATTCTTCTGTATCGTTCTCAAATGGATGGTTACTCGGTTCCATTGTGCTATCTGCTCTTGCTTTGACTACTTGGACTTCAGTGTGATTTTCCAATCTGGATTTTTGTGCTTCGTCCATATTCATGTTCCTTGCAATTTGGTATCGGAGCTGGTATGATTCGCCACTTACCTTGGTGCGCTGGCGTTATACAGACTTGGTGCATTGACGATGCATCTTCGTAGTTGGTTCTTGTGACGTCAGGCCGTATGAGGCGCACAGCCAGGGTAGAGAGGTCTGGAAGGCTAACACGACGTTATGCCGTGGTGACAGGCGGAATGTATGATTGGTGATGAGAGCATGTTGATGTGGCATTCGGCTGAGGTGGCATTGCATTGCGTTGTGGGTCGTACCGAGGCCAAGACCGGTCATCAAATGCACACTCAGCTCAATTGGTGAGAAATTTGTGGTTGGGGGCAGCTATCTCCAGGTACGTTGTTCCCTTACCTTATCTACTCTCTCAATCTCTTCTTACCGTGAGGAAGTGAGTCCAAGTCCTCTCTTTTGGAGAGGTGTCGTGAGCGCGCTACCTTGAGAGACGACAATCTTCCCGGAAGCATCTGGAAGGAGAAAGGGCGGTGCCTCTGAAGGGCCCTTGTCGAAGCACTGGGTCACGATCACCATGCCAACCCAATGGGAGTAGGTCACGCATGCAATGGCTGCTGTCCATTTTGGCACTTGCTGCGCTGAATAGAAGTCTTGCCAGGTGTGCCAGCCTTTTATGAGACGCTTACCAGACCGTCTATAAACATTTCTGGTTGATTCTGGTTGTGATCGTCGTCCTGACTGCGAGGTTAAATAATTCCTGAAGAGATGGGGGGGCTCTTAATATTCCTCCTGATCAGCCAGATCAACTGGGTGTAAGGCTCGTTCCGTACGAGGGTAAATAAGATTGAACTGGCTGGCTTGCTCGGCAATGACTTGGGCACAGGGGTGGGCCGATTACACATGAATGACACCGCTGCTCATTGATGCTTATCGGTATGTTGGATTGAGGGGAAGGGTAGGTTCTAATTGATGCTCAACTGGAAACACAACCATACCCACTCATCATACATCTGCAACATGGTCTTTTTGTATTCTTGATTAGTTGGTGGACAGACTGCTAACACCTCACAGACAGACTAGAGTAGGATTGTTGTATACTACCATAGCCAATTCTATCTAATGCTGCTGTATGTGAGCCAATCAAGATACATCTAGACTATGTTGACAATCTTTTGTGAATGTTGTGGATTGCCATTTGATCGGTAAAGTAGGGGACCTGCCGGACAAAACTATTTTTAGAAAATTAGGTGCCGGTCAGACACATGCTGTGGTAGGATTCCACTAGGGGATTCTAGTGCAGATAATGGTTGCCTAATTCATGAACGGGTCAGACGTCGATGAGGAGAGAGTTGACGATGGAAGACTGACACGTTCGGGATCACGTAGGATCCCGCACGTGTTCCAGGCCTTACAATCGGAAGACGAAAGGCGGCTTCGTGCCGAACGCAGAGCCTGTGCACTAGCAGCAGCTAGGGAAACAGCAAACGCCGCAACTAGGGAATAGGCTGCAGCAGCAGCCAGGGCAGTAGCCATGACTAGTTCAGCAGCATCCTCTGCGGCCTTGTCTGGGACCAATGGGACCATGTTGGGAATGCCCATAGGGTCCACGGGTACTTCCAGTTCAGTAGGTTCTCGACAGTCTACAAGTCAAATGGCGGGCTCGCAGTTCAGCCCGTCGACTCCTCGCGAAAGGGAGCTTCTAGAGCTCCAACAGGTCGAAAGGATCCGTGAAGGATTAGAGAGGGAACTGAAACAGGCAACCAAAAGAGAGATCAAAAATAGAACAGCCAGGCTTGAAACGTTAGAGGCAGACAGCTGAGTTAGAGGGTTTGGATGAGTCTGGACTGTCTGACTCAATGAAATCATTGAGGAACAATATGCTGTCGCTGCATGCGCATGTGGACAGTCGATTGGACTTTATGCAGAACACTCTAGACCAGATCCTGGACATTTTGCGAAGGCCAGGATTTAGGCCACCAGCACAATCGCCGTTGTTATTAACGGCGATGTTAGGCCCCTTTCCCGTACAAGCTGGCACACAACCAAGTGGCACGTCTGCAGCAGCTGCACAGACTGTTGCTTCTTCTTCGTCGGGTCCAGCGGTGGGTGCTACACCACCGCAACAACCTGTTCCTCAACAGGGACAGCCGCAAGGTCAATGGTACCTTAAGATCCCAATGAAACCGCCTCTTGCCTTCTCAGGCGAGAGGAAGGACGAAGAACACAACACTTGGTTGAGAACAATTCCGGTTTGGGTGAAGGCGAAGAGGACCTTGCCAGAGGACGAAGAGGTAACTGCTGCATCTTACCTCGAAGGTAAGGCAGCCAAATGGCTAGATGGTATAGTTGCAAAGGCCGGGTATGGACGACGTATGGTGGACTGGGCTCAATCTATTACGTTAGACCAGTTCTTTGAGATGGTAGAAGCTCGCTAGCACAATCCTCAGCAGGCACAAATAGCCACTGACGCGATAAACAGACTAGATCAAAGAAAGTTTAAGTCAGTCAGAGAGCTTACGACTACCATAGAGAGCCTCATCGTCGATCCAGGCATCAACTAGAGTGACCAGTTCCTGTTGACTACGTTTGTTAGATGTCTTCCAGAGAACCTCAGGAACTTGCTGGCCAGCGAGGCTCGCCTCGAGTACCATTCGTTTGAGACATTGTCTAGAAAAGCCTTAGACTTGGAGGCTACACTAGGAAATGCTCAACCCTCGTAGAATGATGCGAGGAAGAAGAAGAGTCCGCAGGAATGGAAGAAGAAGGGGGCGAAGTTGATGATGGTTGAGTCCGATGGGACTCAAACAGAGATCGATGAGCTCACAGGCCTGTTGGACGTTTCAGAGTACGACGGCGAGGAGACCGCTGAGGGTAGCACCCTCCTCGCAGAAGTCAAGGCTAAGGCTGGTGGCCGAGTGAAGGGCCAGCCAAAGAGTCAAGGGAAGGCCGCCTCCAATCAGACCAAAGTGGCTGATTGGGTCAAGGCAGGTCTTGATCAAGACGTGTGGCAAGACCGTCGAGTGCGTGGCGCTTGTATTAACTTTGGTGAGTACAGACACACCCAGTACAAGTGCCAGAACGCGAAGGTCATGCAGAAGATACCTCCTAAGATGGGGGCATCTTCTTCCCAGGCTTCAAGCTCGGGAAGCATGTGAGGCCGGTGGAAGTTTTAGCTGCTTCTACTCAAGTTGAAGTGGGTCTGATACCCTCCCCACTTCATGAGCAGGCCATAGCTAACGACTCTTTAGTCACCCCGCAGACTCATCCTGGCCAAACTATGCTCTGTACGTTGGATGTGTCTGAAGCCTTATAAGATCTGGAAAGTGAGTGGTCAAACAAGGACCCTCACGAATCTTGGGTGGCGCTAAGGAAAGGTCCTAGAGGGGAACATTTCGTGGTGGAAGTCGATGTAGGAGGCCGCAAATGTGGTGCCTTCATAGACATTGGATCCAAGCGGAATTATATAAGTCGCGACTGTTTGGAAAGGCTGCACCTACAGGAACGGGTACGGCACCTTAGTAGACCTGCAGCATCTACTTTGGGCAACAAGGAGCGCATGATAGTTACAAACTATATCAAGGACGTAGTCTGTACCTTCTCCTATGGAGGAGGAGAACTTAATCATAAGATTTCGTTCTTGGTTAGCAACGACTTACCATTCGACATGTTCTTAGGCATGTACTACCTTGAGGTTGCTAAACCCCAGTTCGACTGGGATAAGAAGGTGCTAAAGCATAAGTTGCCCGATGGCAGGACAGTCAGATTGACTAAGTTCAAAGCCAGTAGCATAATAGATACCTATGGCTGCTTGTGCGCATCAACGTTCCACAACTATTACAAACAGAACCAAGAGGAGGGTATGTACCTTGTGTATGTCTTTGAGAAAGGGGAGGCCGTTAAAACACCCCCAGAGATAGAACACGTCGTTGCTAAGTTCCCTGATCTGTTCGAAGAGCCTACAGGAGTTGTAGAAAGGGAAGTTGTCCACGCTATAGAAATCATTCCACGGAGTAAACCCCAAAGGGAAGGATCAATAGGATGGCTCCCGCGGAGTTAGATGAACTTCGGCAACAACTCAAAGAGCTAGCAGAGAAGGGATGGATCCGGCAGAGAAAGTACTTCCCCTTACGGATCTCCAGTATTATTCGTACTGAAGAAGGGGGGTACATTAAGGATGTGCATTAATTATAGAGGCCTCAATGCCATCACCGTGAAGAACGCAGAGCCTCTACCTTGCATAGACGACCTACAAGATAGGGTGCAGGGATGCAAGTACTATAGCAAGATAGACTTGAAATCCGGCTATCATCAGATCGCTATAAAACTTGAGGACCAACACAAGACAGCTTTTCAAACTCGATATGGTCTCTATGAGTTTGTAGTGATGCCCTTTGGTCTTTGCAATGCGCCGGGAACATTCCAGCACGTTATGAATCGGATCTTCCATGATCATTTAGATAAGTTTGTCGTGGTTTACCTTGACGACATTCTGATCCTTAGTTAGTCTGCCGAGGAGCATGCATAGCACGTTCAGACTGTACTCTCACTCCTGCGACAGCACAAGTATAAGGTCAACCTAGAGAAGTGTGAGTTTGGTCGCAGTAAGATATTATACTTGGGTCATGAAGTATCCGTGGAAGGGATTAGGCCGGCAGATGCGAAGGTGGCTAGTATTCGAGACTGGCCACGACCTCAGACTCTCAGTGAGGTCAGATCTTTCTTAGGAATGTGCGGTTACTATAGGAACTTCGTAAAGAATTATTCTACAGTCGCATCTCCTTTGACAGATCTAACTCGACTTGACACGCCGTGCCTCTGGGCATGCACTCATGAATCATGAAGTTCTCATGGTTCCCGATCCTCAGAAGCCGTTCATAGTAACCGCTGACGCAAGCCAATATGGCATTGGCGCAATGCTGGCTCAGCAGGATGGGAAGAAGTTGAGACGATTGAGTACATGAGCAAGAAAATGCCATCAAAATTGGCAAAGTCCACCAACGAAAGGGAACTCTATGCTCTCTACAAGGCACTTGTCCATTGGAGACACTTTCTGTTGGGACGGTTCTTCTACTTGAGAAATGACCATCAGACGCTCAAATGGATCAAGACTCAACCGGCTCTTTCCGATGCACTCGAGCGTTGGATTGAGGTCATAGATCAATATGACTTCAAGCTTGAGTATCTGAAGGGAGAGCACAACAAGGTTGCGGATGCGCTATCCCGTAGAGCAGACTACCTAGGTGCGCTAGTTTCTGAGTTTGGTGTATCTGAAGGAGTAACTCAATCATTGGTGGGAGCCTATCAGGAAGACTTTGTCACGATGGACATCATCCGCAAACTTCAGGCAAAAGACAATGCCACGGAAAGTGAGTTTGTGATGGTGGACGGGCTACTCTATCTTGATAAGGCCGGTGCTAAAAGGCTAGTAGTTCCATCTAGTGAACGTTTGCGTAGTTTGTTTTTAGGAGAATGCCATGACGCAACCGGGCACTTTACAAAAAGACGAGTGCTAATCTAGTACAGCGATTTTGGTGGCCTGGAATGCTAGATGACGCGAAGAAGTATGTAGAGACCTGTCAGGTCTGTTAGTGGGACAAGCCGCGAACCCGAGCACCGCTTGGGTTGCTGAAGCCCTTACCTATTCGCGCTGGTCCAGGACTGAGTGTTTCCATGGATTTCATGGATACCCTGGTGACCAGCAAGAGTGGCAAGAGGCACATCTTCGTCATCATTGATCGATTCACCAAGTACGCTAGACTAGTTGCCGTGCTAGAGAGCGCAAGGACGGACCATGTCATCAAGTTGTTCCAGGACAACTGGGTGCGTGACTTTGGTTTACCAAAGACAATCGTTAGTGACAGAGATGTTCGTTCCACAAGTGAGTTGTGGAAGAAGACTGCTGAGCAGATGGGCAGTCAACTTAAGATGACTTCAGGGAATCATCCCGAAGCCAACGGACAGGCCGAGCAAATTAATAGAGTTGTACAACACTTGCTGAGGCATTACATCAAGCCCAACCAGGATGATTGGGATGAGAAGTTGCCTCTCATCGCCAGCCTGTACAACAACGCTGTACACAACAGTACCGGCGTTAGTCCTAACCAGCTGCACTTGGGATGGAAGCCTAGATCTGCTCTAGACTTCCTCCTACCTGAAAACCGATCCTCTGCAACTCCAGGCACACTTAAGTATGGTGTGCAGTATGAGAAGTTGTTGCAGCAAGCTGTCGAGCATATTACGAAAGCTCAGCAAGCAATGATTGCTTCTGAGAACAAGCATCGACGACAGTCCTCATTTCAGGTAGGGGAACGTGTCTGGGTCAAGGCTAGTGAGCTAGGACAGGAATTCGATATCTCTAGAAAACTAATGCCTCAGTACTTTGGTCCTTGGGAAGTCCTAGATGTAGTAGGGGATGAGATGGATGGTCCTACCTATGTTATCCGTATCCCTGGACACCTACGCACTCACCCTGTCTTTCATGCCTCAAAGCTTGCACCTTTCGCTGAGACTGAGCAATTCTCCTTCAAGGAGATCGATGCTGCCCCCAACCATGGATGGTCGAGTGGACATCGATGACATTGTGGATCACAGAGATCTGCCCGTTCAGAAGCCATTGGGTAGAGGACCTCCTAAACCCAAGAGAGAATATCGCGTTAGATTCAGGCATCATTCGGATCCAAAAGAAGACCGGTGGTTCACTGACACAGCTCCTCAGGTGGTGGCAGAATATGAGAGGAATCTGAAAGGGAAGGCACCTGCGAAGTAAGCATCTCAGCGGACTTTCGAAGCTAAGGGGGATGGAATGTGAGGATTGAGCCCTCAAGAAGGGGCCTTTCCATGATGAACATGTTTTGGGCTAAGGCCCCAGCAAGCCTAGTGCCCGCCCTAAGTGAAGGCGGGCCAGCAAATCAACAAGAGCCCCCTGTGCAAACATTTCACGAAGTGGGGTCTATATAGTTGCAGCACGCTAGTTGGTTGGAGTGCACCGAGTCTCGGATCTCTGCAAATGTGGAAATCCCAAGGCCTCTGAGTTAGTTAGGCCCTGGGCACTTGAACGTGAGGTTGACAATGCATGCTGGGTAGAGAGGCCGAAAATGCCAAAGGGAAATTGGCGCAACTGCATCCCCCGGGCCTCAACTGCATCGGGCCTGGGTTCAGGCACTGGGGCCCAGACGCAGGCTGAAGGGAGCCCGCCCACACGCAACACTGGCATATAGGCAAGTAGGGCGAGTGGGCAGGGATCTTGGCCATTGTGGGCAATGCCGGCACGCTGCGCAAATGCGAGCTGCTGCGCTGGGCTAGGCTGAGGTAGGGCGCTGCCTGTGCACAGGGCACTGGCGGCCATAGCTGGGCTGCTTGGGGCCGCAGGGGAGGTGAGGGCGAAGGTGGTTCTTCGGAGGTGAAGGGCGCTGTGTGGGATAACAAGGGAGAGTGTGGGTGAAGGAGGAGACGTACCTGGTGGAGGTGGAGGTCGACGTTGGTGTTGACATCATCACTCGCTGGTCGTCAAGTTGTCTGGTTGCTTTCATTGCTGTAGTTGTAGGCTTAGGCTGTAGAGTAGATAGGGCGCCT